ATATAATGATTAAGTTTATAATAATTATTAAGTTCATATATAATGATTAAGTTTATATATAATTATTAAGTTTATATATAATGATTAGTTATATATAATTATTAAATTTATATAATTATTAAGTTTATATAATTATTAAGTTCAGTCAATTATTATTCCTCATTATACCCAGAGTGACTCCTTCACAATGTTTGTTCTGTCAGTCCAAACCTCAAAATGAATATACAGTATCTCACAAAGTGAGTCCAGCCTCACATCTCTGTAACTATGGGATTCTATCTTTTCATGTTTCAACGCTGAAGAAATGACCCTTTGCTCCAGTGTAAAGTAGTGAGTGTGTAAATCTGCTGTCCCCTCAAAATAACACATCACACAGCCATAGTGACATACTGTAAATACACAAAAATAATCAAAAAGACAATCAATTCAGTTTTATTTATAAAATGCCAAATCACAGCAACAGTTATCTCGTGTCTCTTTTCATAAAGAGACACGAGATAACTGCACAATATCCACACAGACAGTAAAGGTGATGCTGCTACAGACTGACTGAATAACGGTACAGATATTTACAGTGTTACTGATTATAATAACAATAAAATAACTGCAGCAGAGCGCGGGAGCAGCAACACGGGGGCAGCAGGTGACTCGCCGCCGCAGAGATGATCAGCAGTTTCCAGTCAGTGAACTAAAAGGGGCGGCTGTAGAAACTGTTGGACTTTTCATAACAAAACATCAAATACTAATAGTTTAATACTACATTAAATATACTGTCTTTTTTTTAGTGTTTGAGTAAAAATACTCAAACATGTTTCTAATAAAAACACAGACTTTTACTACTTTATACTTTGAAACTTCTAGTGGAGAAATATTTATTTAGGGTATCTGTACTATTACTAAAGTACAGGATCTGTGTACTTTGTCCACCACTGAGTATTTGTCAGGTTTTTTAAACCAGAAAGAACATTTACATCTACGTTTAAAATACTGCTGTTAGTACAAGTACTGCAGTACTATCTGCTAAATGTACATACTGAAAGGGAGAGGAGGAGGTGCAGAAGGAGAGGAGGAGGTGCAAAAGGAGAGGAGGAGGCAGAGAAGGAGAGGAGGAGGTGCAGAAGGAGAGGAGGAGGCAGAGAAGGAGAGGAGAAGGTCCAGAAGGAGAGGAGGAGGTGGTGAAGGAGAGGAGGAGGCAGAGAGGGAGAGGAGGAGGTGCAGAAGGAGAGGAGGAGGCAGAGAAGGAGAGGAGGAGGTCCAGAAGGAGAGGAGGAGGTGGTGAAGGAGAGGAGGAGGCAGAGAAGGAGAAGAGGAAGCAGAGCAGGAGACAAGGAAGCAGAGAAGGAGAAGAGAAGGTGGTGAAGGGGAGGAGGAGGCAGAGAAGGAGAGGAGGAGGTGCAAAAGGAGAGGAGGAGGCAGAGAAGGAGAGGAGGAGGTCCAGAAGGAGAGGAGGAGGTGGTGAAGGAGAGGAGGAGGCAGAGAAGAGGAAGCAGAGCAGGAGACAAGGAAGCAGAGAAGGAGAAGAGAAGGTGGTGAAGGGGAGGAGGAGGCAGAGAAGGAGAGGAGGAGGTGCAAAAGGAGAGGAGGAGGCAGAGAAGGAGAGGAGGAGGTCCAGAAGGAGAGGAGGAGGTGCAGAAGGAGAGGAGGAGGCAGAGAAGGAGAGGAGGAGGTCCAGAAGGAGAGGAGGAGGTGGTGAGGAGAGGAGGCAGAGAAGGAGAAGAGGAAGCAGAGCAGGAGACGAGGAAGCAGAGAAGGAGAGGAGAAGGTGGTGAAGGGGAGGAGGAGGCAGAGAAGGAGAGGAGGAGGTGCAAAAGGAGAGGAGGAGGCAGAGAAGGAGAGGAGGAGGTCCAGAAGGAGAGGAGGAGGTGCAGAAGGAGAGGAGGAGGCAGAGAAGGAGAGGAGGAGGTCCAGAAGGAGAGGAGGAGGTGGTGAAGGAGAGGAGGAGGCAGAGAAGGAGAAGAGGAAGCAGAGCAGGAGACGAGGAAGCAGAGAAGGAGAGGAGAAGGTGGTGAAGGGGAGGAGGAGGCAGAGAAGGAGAGGAGGAGGTGCAAAAGGAGAGGAGGAGGCAGAGAAGGAGAGGAGGAGGTCCAGAAGGAGAGGAGGAGGTGCAGAAGGAGAGGAGGAGGCAGAGAAGGAGAGGAGGAGGTCCAGAAGGAGAGGAGGAGGTGGTGAAGGAGAGGAGGAGGCAGAGAAGGAGAAGAGAAGGTGGTGAAGGGGAGGAGGCAGAGAAGGAGAGGAGGAGGTGCAAAAGGAGAGGAGGAGGCAGAGAAGGAGAGGAAGCAGAGAAGGAGAGGAGGAGGCAGAGAAGGAGGTAGAGAAGGAGAGGAGGAGGCGGTGAAGGAAAGGAGGAAGCAGAGGAGGAGGTGGTGAAGGAGAGGAGGAGGTGCAGATGGAGAGGAGGAGGCAGAGAAGGAGAGGAGGTGCAGAAGGAGAGGAGGAGGCAGAGAAGGAGGCAAAGAAGGAGAGGAGGAGGCGGTGAAGGAGAGGAGGAGGCGGTGAAGGAGAGGAGGAAGCGGAGGAGGAGGTGGTGAAGGAGAGGAGGAGGTGCAGAAGGAGAGGAGGAGGCAGAGAAGGAGAGGAGGAGAAGGAGACAGTGCTCTCTTTGTGTGTCTCAGTTCGAGCAGCTGCAGTCTGAATGTGCCGGGCAGCACCAGCCACCACTGTCTCCATCTACGGTACTGTTGGATGTCTTGTTCCTATGATCAACCTCCGACCTCTTAAAGGCGCCGCTCCTCTTGACATCATTGCTCAATAATCGATCTGCTGTATTGATCTTTGACGTCGCCAGCGGTCGTTCTCTCACGTTAACTCGCCATCACAGATCAATAATCTCTTTTATTGATCGTCACATTCAGTTTAACAGAAAACATCATGTTTCCTGCTGCGTCACTGCGTGGCGATCATGAGACACAGGCGAGGAGACACAAGGGGGGAGACACGGGTGAGGAAACACAGGGGGGGAGACACGGGCAAGGAAACACAGGGGGGGAGACACGGGCGAGGAAACACAGGCGAGGAGACACAAGGGGGGAGACATGAGGGGAGACACAGGGGAGGAGACACGGGTGAGGAGACACGGGTAAGGAGACACGGGTGAGGAGATATTGGTGAGGAGATACGGGCGAGGAGACACAGGGGAGGAGACACAGGGAGGAGACATGGGTAAGGAGATACAGGTGAGGAGACATGGGTGAGGAGATATGGGTGAGGAGATACGGGCGAGGAGACACAGGGGAGGAGACACAGGGAGGAGACACGGGTAAGGAGACACAGGTGAGGAGACATGGGTGAGGAGATACGGGTGAGGAGACATGGGTGAGGAGATATGGGTGAGGAGATACGGGCGAGGAGACACAGGGGAGGAGACACAGGGAGGAGACATGGGTAAGGAGATACAGGTGAGGAGACATGGGTGAGGAGATATGGGTGAGGAGATACGGGCGAGGAGACACAGGGGAGGAGACACAGGGAGGAGACATGGGTAAGGAGATACAGGTGAGGAGACATGGGTGAGGAGATATGGGTGAGGAGATACGGGCGAGGAGACACAGGGGAGGAGACACAGGGAGGAGACACGGGTAAGGAGACACAGGTGAGGAGACATGGGTGAGGAGATACGGGTGAGGAGACATGGGTGAGGAGATATGGGTGAGGAGATACGGACGAGGAGACACAGGGGAGGAGACACAGGGAGGAGACATGGGTAAGGAGATACAGGTGAGGAGACATGGGTGAGGAGATATGGGTGAGGAGATACGGGCGAGGAGACACAGGGGAGGAGACACAGGGAGGGGACATGGGTAAGGAGATACAGGTGAGGAGACATGGGTGAGGAGATATGGGTGAGGAGACACAGGGGAGGAGACACAGGGAGGAGACACAGGTAAGGAGACACGGGAGGAGACACAGGGTGGAGACACGGGTGAGGAGACACGGGTGAGGAGACACAGGGGGGAGACACGGATGAGGAGACACAGGGGAGGAGATACGGGCAAGGAGACACGTGGAGGAGAAATGGGGGAGACATGGGCGAGGAGACATATGGGGGAGACATGGTGGAGGAGACGGGTATACTAATTAGTACTAATACAAACAGGTACTGCAGTATACTAATATACATGTGTAGTGTACTAATACACACATGAGAATGTGAATGGGACAATAAATAATAAGACTTTGTGTAAGTGATCAGCTTCATGTCTTCTTTTCAGTCTCTGTATCTGAGTAATGTGTAGTACTGTGTAGTACTGTGTAGTATTACTGCAGTAGGAGCACCATTATTTGACAGACAGACGGAGTGACGTCACTGATCAGTTTGCATCGATCACGTTATCGTTTGGTTCTCTGCTGCTTCTTTGTGTTTCGGTTATGAAGCGGGAGGTTCGCTTTTTATTCACACGGGCGCTCTCCGTGGTGGGCGGGGTCAGTTTTCGGGTGTTCCACGTCACACAGCAGCGTGTACCGGCTGCTTAATCCGTTCTGCACATGCGCAGAAGTGGTCATGGCATTCAGAAGGTTACCCTATATGTGCCTGCAGAAAATGAAAACTGAATATTTGAAATCATCCATCAGTTATCTCCGCCCGCCCGCCGGCCCGCCTGGAGAGGAAAAAAAAAAGGTAAATTCTTCTGATCATTGATCTCAGCTCTGCTGATCAGAACCACTTTGTTCAGGTCGCCTCCCGCCTCATTGTGAACAGGCACATCTGTGGCTTCCACAGTTCATTGACGCTGTCCGGAGCACTCACGTGACCCTCCTGCTGCTCTCTGATTCGCTGTTGCGTAGGCTACCACGTGAGACTGACACGTTGTCATAGAGACTGACTCCACCCATACCGCCGCGTCACCGCCCCGGTGTAAAAGACAAGCGCTCCCTGGCCATAGTCCGTGGCAGATGCTGGTGGGCGGGACTTGTGGTGCGTGCGATGAGGGGGTTGGCTGAGCGCGGCAGCAGCGGGCCGTGCTGTGATTGGTCAGAAGTAGAGAGCGGGGCTGTCAGTCAGAGAGACGCCCCGCCCCTGGGCTCAGACTGCGGACTGCTCCGGGACCAGAACCCAACACTCCGCCGGATACGGATTAATTCCTCTTTAGTTTGTGCTGAGGTGATCGATCAGCTGTGATCGGTTTGATTAGTCGGAGGGGATGTCCCGGCTGCTGGAGAGCAGGAGACAGGACAGGATGAAGGAAATCAACGTAAAGGTGAGTTCAGCGGAGAAAAGAAAGAAAAAGAAACGGGCTTTGGGGCGCGTGCACGCTCACTTTAATAATCGATAATACTAGTTATTGATGCGCGAGGAGCGACCGGACAGTCTGGATGTGATCGATCAGAAACAGACCAACTCCGTCTCACTTTTTGTCGGGTCCGCTTTGTCCGCGCGCTCACATCTGGACCACACCGACCGGGTCTGTTCCGTTACTGCAGATGTTGGGGAGCTTATCGATAGTTCTAATAGATGATCGATCAGTGATCGGGAACGTGCGGGAGCGGCTTGTGTGTGAACAGACTGCTGAAGTTGGCAGAGCTCAGAAACGGGAAACACTTTTTTTTCTTTCAGTTCAGACTGAAAAAACGGTTTGATGCGTTTAAACGGCGGAGCGGGTCCGTGCGGGTCCGTGCGGGTCCGTGCGGGTCGGACTGTGTAGGTGTGTGTGTTCCCCGTGTACATGTTCACTGTGACTTTCAGCGTGTTTCAGCGTGTTTCGGTGTGTTTCGGTGTGGGTCCGTTAGCAGCAGCGTGGCCGCTTTGTCCTGCAGGAGGAAACGAGTGGGGGGAGGGGCGGCGCGCGAGTGTGTGTGTTCAGACAGGAAGTGTCGGTCAGGAGTGAAGGTGGATGTTTGACCTCTGACCTCTGATCTGACTGTAAACACTGAGAACATCTCTCCTCTCATGTTTTCATCTCTTCTCTCATGTTGTCCTTTCTTCTCCTATCATGTCTTCATCTCTTCTCCTCGCATGTCTTCATCTCTTCTTCATCTCTTCTCCTCTCATGTTGTCATCTCTTCTCTTCTCATGTTTTCGTCTCTTCTCTCATGTCTTCGTCTCTTCTTCATCTCATGTCTTCCTGTCTCTTCATCTCATGTCTTCCTGTCTCTTCATCTCATGTCTTCCTATCTCTTCTCCTCTCATGTCTTCATCTCTTCTCCTCTCATGTTGTCATCTCTTCTCTTCGCATGTTTTCATCTCTTCTCTCATGTCTTCATCTCTTCTTCATCTCATGTCTTCAGCTCTTCTTCATCTCTTCTCCTCTCATGTCTTCATCTCTTCTTCATCTCATGTCTTCAGCTCTTCTCTCATGTCGTCATCTCTTCTTCATCTCTTCTCCTCATGTTTTCGTCTCTTCTCTCATGTCTTCATCTCTTCTTCATCTCATGTCTTCCTGTCTCTTCATCTCATGACTTCCTATCTCTTCTCTTCGCATGTTTTCATCTCTTCTCTCATGTCTTCATCTATTCTTCATCTCATGTCTTCATCTCTTCTTCATCTCATGTCTTCAGCTCTTCTCTCATGTCGTCATCTCTTCTTCATCTCTTCTCCTCATGTTTTCGTCTCTTCTCTCATGTCTTCATCTATTCTTCATCTCATGTCTTCCTGTCTCTTCATCTCATGACTTCCTATCTCTTCTCTTCGCATGTTTTCATCTCTTCTCTCATGTCTTCATCTATTCTTCATCTCATGTCTTCAGCTCTTCTCTCATGTCGTCATCTCTTCTTCATCTCTTCTCCTCTCATGTTGTCATCTCTTCTTCATCTCTTCTCTCATGTTTTCGTCTCTTCTTCATCTCATGTCTTCATCTCTTCTCCTCTCATGTCTTCATCTCTTCTCCTCTCATGTCTTCATCTCTTCTTCATCTCATGTCTTCATCTCTTCTCCTCTCATGTCTTCATCTCTCCTCTCATGTTGTCATCTCTTCTCCTCTCATGTCTTCATCTCTTCTCCTCTCATGTCTTCATCTCTTCTCCTCTCATGTTTTCATCTCTTCTTCATCTCATGTCTTCAGCTCTTCTTCATCTCTTCTCCTCTCATGTTGTCATCTCTTCTCCTCTTATGTTGTCATCTCTTCTCTCATGTTGTCATCTCTTCTCCTCTCGTGTCTTCATCTCTTCTTCATCTCTTCTCCTCTCATGTCTTCATCTCTTCTTCATCTCTTCTCCTCTCATGTCTTCATCTCTTCTCCTCTCATGTCTTCATCTCTTCATGTCTTCTCCTCTCATGTCTTCATGTCTTCTCCTCTCATGTCTTCATCTCTTCTCCTCTCAAGTCGTCATCTCTTCTTCATCTCTTCTCCTCTCATATTTTCATCTCTTCTCTCATGTCTTCATCTCTTTTCCTCTCATGTTTTCATCTCTTTTCCTCTCATGTCTTCATCTCTTCTTCATCTCATGTCTTCATCTCTTCTCTTCTCATGTCGTCATCTCAACTCCTCTCATGTCTTCATCTCTTCTTCATCTCTTCTCCTCTCATGTCTTCATCTCTTATTCATCTCATGTCTTCATCTCTTCGCCTCTCATATTTTCATCTCTTCTCATGTCTTCATCTCTTCGCCTCTCATGTTTTCATCTCTTCTCTCATGTCTTCATCTCTTCTTCATCTCATATCTTCATCTCTTCTCCTCTCATGTCGTCATCTCTTCTCCTCTCATGTCTTCATCTCTTCTTCATCTCTTCTCCTCTCATGTCTTCAGTAGTAATAGTACAATATAGAAATACTCTATGAAGTGTTTTACATTCAGGTACAGTATTCCTCTCTGAAAGTGAAGTTTAAAGTAGCAGGACATGTTACTAGCACCGGAGTACACGTTACTGCAGCTGCAGGTTCTCATTATTGTCATTTTTCTGTTCTTTATTGTTCCAAGTGTCTGAAACTGCTCCTTGTTCTTTACTTTCCTAGCAGAGAAGCTCAGCAGAAGACCAGCGCCATTTGTTTTCACTGATTTCACTTGAAAAAGGACTGAAAGTTTATTAAAATCGTTGCTTCGAGGCTGTAGATTGTTATTTTGTGTGTTTTAGAATGAAAACAGTTTCAGTCTGTTCTGAACCACAAAAATTCTGAAATAATCAAATTTTTCTGAGTGTCTGTTGTGCCGAGTGTGTTGTCTGTTACCGTGGTGAGGAGTTAACCTTATTAAACAGACCCAGCAGCAGCAGTTAGTTATGAACCAGAAAGCTGAGGGGAGGCTGACCAATCACTGACTGAGGGGGGGTGGCGGTCGGACACAGAGCCTCCTGAACCCTCAGCGTCGGTACAGAGTTATCCTGGAGTTTGAGTCATCAGTCTGATCATTCTGATAACCTGATGGCAGCTGATCAGACATCAGATGTGAAACGTCAGAGAGTCAGGTTTCATGATGTCTGTCTGTGAGGTCTACTGGCTCCAGGTTTCTGTCTCTTTTCACCCCCCCCCCCCAGCAGACAGAGGTCCCTTTATTTCTCACCATCACTGACTTCTTTATTTATTGATCAGCTGACTGTCACCAGATCACTGAACTTGTTTTGGACCATTTAGAGACTAAATCTGTGTCAGTTACTGATCAATACAGAGACTCAAATTGTGATTATCTTTAAAAAGTACATAAACAGACTGAGATGATGAATCTAACATTAACTACCTGTTCCACTGAACATATCATCAGACATCTTGTTTTGTCTAAAACACAACATATTTCAGTTCACTGTGATGTAAAGCGTCTAGATCTCCGTCCATCGTGCAATCACGTTGACTCACTAACAGAAACTGTCTTTGCAGACACTTCCTCTTCCTGCTCCTCCCAGCTGTGAGCAGAAGTTAATGTGAACAACAGAACAGAAAGAAGAAGTTTAGACCCACACAGGCCGACAGACAGACATATATATATATATACATATATATTTATGAAAACATATTGTAACTTTAATGAAATACATATAATCAAAGAAACATCTTGTATAAATACGACAGGATTAAGGTTAAAAGAAGTCAGTAAAAACAAGTTTTAAGAGCTGTTTTGTTTTTATGTTCAGCTGTAGATGAAAAGTGTTCAGAAAGCTTTAGCTTCCTGCTGTCCCGGTGTGGTCAAAATAACTCTGATCAATGTGTTATCTGATCAGCAGTAAACCGTGACGTTTTACTTCACACAGGTGTTTTTTTATGCAGGCAAACCCAAAATGAAGGTACCAGCATTTCTGTGACGTTTATGTCTTTCTTCAGTTAACATGGTCGATATTTGGCATCGGCGAGCTGTGACATCACTTCTTTGTCACAGAGGGAAACGTACCTGTATGTGACAGTTGGTGTCCATGTTTGATTTGGTACCAGAACATGTGACAGTTGGCGTCCATGTTTGATTTGGTACATGAACACATGACAGTTGGCGTCCATGTTTGATTTGGAACCAGAACACGTGACAGTTGGCGTCCATGTTTGATTTGGTACATGAACACGTGACAGTTGGCGTCCATGTTTGATTTGGAACCAGAACACGTGACAGTTGGCGTCCATGTTTGATTTGGTACATGAACACGTGACAGTTGGCGTCCATGTTTGATTTGGAACCAGAACATGTGACAGTTGGCGTCCATGTTTGATTTGGTACATGAACACGTGACAGTTGGCGTCCATGTTTGATTTGGTACATGAACACGTGACAGTTGGCGTCCATGTTTGATTTGGTACATGAACACGTGACAGTTGGTGTCCATGTTTGATTTGGTACCAGAACACGTGACAGTTGGCGTCCATGTTTGATTTGGTACATGAACACGTGACAGTTGGCGTCCATGTTTGATTTGGTACATGAACATGTGACAGTTGGCGTCCATGTTTGATTTGGTACATGAACACGTGACAGTTGGCGTCCATGTTTGATTTGGAACCAGAACACGTGACAGTTGGCGTCCATGTTTGATTTGGTACATGAACACATGACAGTTGGCGTCCATGTTTGATTTGGAACCAGAACATGTGACAGTTGGCGTCCATGTTTATTTTGGTACATGAACACGTGACAGTTGGCGTCCATGTTTGATTTGGAACCAGAACACGTGACAGTTGGCGTCCATGTTTGATTTGGTACATGAACACATGACAGTTGGCGTCCATGTTTGATTTGGAACCAGAACACGTGACAGTTGGCGTCCATGTTTGATTTGGTACATGAACACGTGACAGTTGGCGTCCATGTTTGATTTGGTACATGAACACGTGACAGTTGGCGTCCATGTTTGATTTGGAACCAGAACATGTGACAGTTGGCGTCCATGTTTGATTTGGTACATGAACACGTGTCAGTTGGCGTCCATGTTTGATTTGGAACCAGAACATGTGACAGTTGGCGTCCATGTTTGATTTGGTACATGAACACGTGACAGTTGGCGTCCATGTTTGATTTGGAACCAGAACACGTGACAGTTGGCGTCCATGTTTGATTTGGTACATGAACACGTGACAGTTGGCGTCCATGTTTGATTTGGTACATGAACACGTGACAGTTGGCGTCCATGTTTGATTTGGTACCAGAACACGTGACAGTTGGCGTCCATGTTTGATTTGGAACCAGAACACGTGACAGTTGGCGTCCATGTTTGATTTGGTACCAGAACACGTGACAGTTGGCGTCCATGTTTGATTTGGAACCAGAACACGTGACAGTTGGCGTCCATGTTTGATTTGGTACCAGAACACGTGACAGTTGGCGTCCATGTTTGATTTGGTACATGAACACGTGACAGTTGGCGTCCATGTTTGATTTGGTACCTGAACACGTGACAGTTGGCGTCCATGTTTGATTTGGTACATGAACACGTGACAGTTGGCGTCCATGTTCGATTTGGTACATGAACACGTGACAGTTGGCGTCCATGTTTGATTTGGTACCAGAACACGTGACAGTTGGCGTCCATGTTTGATTTGGTACCAGAACACGTGACAGTTGGCGTCCATGTTTGAATTGGTTCAGTGTTTCAGTGACTTGGTTTACTGTCAGAGACTAAAACATCTGGCGGTCTTCCTCTGACGTTTTCAGCTCGTCTTCAGCTTTGGACCAAACGAACTGTGTGGAATATTCTAAAGTTTATCTGAAGCTTCATCAGTCGGAGTTGCAGATGTGTTGATAATTAGTCTGTACTCGTGTTTCTGTCTTTTCACTGCAGCAATAAGGAAACTCTGTTCATGGAAACAAAAGAGGAAGTTTTATGCTGAGAAGTCAGAAGATCTTCTGTCAAGCAGCTCGAGTCTCAGATTTCCTTCATGATGTGTTGATGTCCAGTCTGTTCAAACTGTGATTGTAATGTTCACACAGTTACTGTGGGTTGATTATTTAAACATCAGCCTCAGAGAGGCAGAATGACTAGAGGTACACCCACACATAAAAACAGGAAGTGGAGTTTGACTCATCTTTTTCTCACCCTGTGGTTGTGATGTCAGCTTTAATTTTACTTCCTGTGCATGATGTCATCACAGTCTGTGCGGGATCATCATCATCATCATCATCACTGATGTTTGCACGTGGAAATTTAATTAACCCAACATGTACGTAGTATTTCTTCATTGATTTTACAGTAAAGCTTTATGTTTACAACAGATGTTTCATTGTGTTGAAATGACTCATTTACTGATGCAGGTCCAAATATTTATTTTTGTTGTCTCATAAAAGTTCATATTAAATGTGAACAGCTGGTTGATGGTTAACTAACATTATCAGTTACTGACGGTCTCTGAGGGCTTTGATTGGCTGTCATGTGTCCATGTTGTCATTGCTCAGACAGGTGTGATCAGGTGAAAGATCAGTTTCTTGATAAATTTCTAGCCATGATAGAAGCTTGATGGTCAAATGTGCTTTTATTGTCTCTGAGTGTAGAAACAGCGTAATGAATGTGACGATAACCACACAGACCACATAACAGGTTGATTTTCTGACCACTTCACTTTGTTTCTAACTAATCACGTTTGTTATATGCGTTACCCATGAGCCTCAGCCATCATTAAAAGACTTTACTGTGCAGATTGTTTGTTGTTTTCTCTTTAGCCTCCACCAGCTGTCAGCAGAGCAAATAACAGAGCCTGAAGCTGTATGATTGGATGGTTTTTCCAAAATGCACCTTGGAGGTCGTAGTTAACTTCTACCTTAAAGTCCACACAACCAAATATTTCTTAGTTCGCCGAGTCCGTCCAACAGATGTCCCTAAAGATGCGTATTAAATGAGTCTGTCCACCGCTTCGGTCCAGTTAATAATATGATATAATAACAGCTAACACTAAAGCTAGACCTTCACAGCTGTGTATCTTTCAATTAATTTTTATTCTGAATCTCAGTGTTCAGTTCAGAGGTCGGAGGTCATCCTGCTGATGGGGCTGATGGTCCCTGTAGTCTCTATCTGGACTACAGCTCCCATGAGGCCATGCTGCTTCTGCTGGGTCCTGAAGCAGAGTGTCTGTCTGTTTGTAGGATGGCCTTCATTTATAATTCATACCAACACCAGCGTGCCCCTGAGTAAGGCACCTGAGACAGCCAATCAGATAGGAGCTTCTGTCCGACCTCCACAGTCTGATGTGAAAAGTCTGTAGCAGAGTTACTGTCGGATTCTGATTTACATCATCAGAAGGAGAACATCATTTAATGAAACATTGAAACACATGATGCTGCAACTGCAACCATCGGCCCACCATCGGCCACCATCGGCCCTCTATGGGTCCACCATTGGCCCACCATCAGCCACCATCGGCCCACCATCGGCCCTCTATGGGTCCACCATTGGCCCACCATCAGCCACCATCGGCCCACCATTGGCCCACCATCAGCCACCATCGGCCACCATAGGCCCTCTATGGGTCCACCATTGGCCCACCATCAGCCACCATCGGCCACCATCGGCCCTCTATGGGTCCACCATTGGCCCACCATCAGCCACCATCGGCCCACCATCGGCCCTCTATGGGTCCACCATTGGCCCACCATCAGCCACCATCGGCCCACCATCGGCCCTCTATGGGTCCACCATTGGCCCACCATCAGCCACCATCGGCCCACTATGGGTCCACCATTGGCCCACCATCAGCCACCATCGGCCCACCATCGGCCCTCTATGGGTCCACCATTGGCCCACCATCAGCCACCATCGGCCCACCATCGGCACTCTATGGGTCCACCATTGGCCCACCATCGGCCCTCTATGGGTTCACCATTGGCCCACCATCAGCCACCATCAGCCCACTATGGGTCCACCATTGGCCCACCATCGGTCACCATCAGCCCCGTGGAGGCAGACCCCTCAGTGTTTAGAGGCCTTCTGTCAGTTCATGGCTCAGATATAACAGAACAGAAAAGATGTCTAGCTGCTAAAACTGGACACATTTGAACAGCATCAGGTCAGAATCAAACCTCTGCTGTTCCTTAGAGCTGCTGCACTAAAATGTTCAAGTGTACAATCTGTATGAAGCTGAAGGCACGTCGGATCAGTGAGTAGTCATCTCTGTCGGCTCAGAGTCCAGGGTCAGACATTCTGGAATAGACCCCTGGAAGCTGTCTGAACCTTTCTCAAGTTTCCCATGATGCCCTGCTGCTGGGCAGAGGCTGATTCAGCTCACAGTGAGGCACAGTGTTCGTCTTTGTGTGAACAAGATGACATGAAACACCAACCAGAGAGAGAGTGTGTGAATGTAAACATACTGACTGCACCCCCCCCACCCCCCTCCCCCGGCCTCAGGTATTAGACCGCCCCCCCCCATCCTCCCTCTGTTGAAAACCTGCTCTGTGTCTCTGTGATTGAACTCTTCATACTGAACACACCTGTGGTCATATGACAGATTCACCAGCTGTTTCAGTGAAGTGACAGGTTCAAAGTGGGAAAGAATTGTTCAGCTTTCATATAAAGAATAACTCACCTGTCTCTCTGTCTGCTTAGAAAAAGGAGAAGGAGCGTCTGAAGGAGCGAGAGAAGGAGGCGCGAGAGAGGGAGGCCAGGACCAGCAACGGCCACCTGTTCACTTCCCTGACTGTGTCCTCCACCACCCTGTGCTCCTCCTGCAACAGGAGCATCACCGCCAAGGAGGCGCTCAGCTGCCCAGGTAACAGATATACGACAAATATATACATAAACACACATACAGTGTGTACTGTCATGACATGAAGTATATGTACACACACAGTTTGGTGTTTCTTGGTCCTTGAAGCCGACCATAAAGCGGACCTTGAAGAGGTTGAACATAATGATGTCGGTACAAAGTCATGACGAAAATCAGTTTTTATCAGTCACTCATTAATCAGCACTTCCTGCTGAAGCTTCACAATAAAAGCCTTTCTGTGGTTAGCTTTTAATGTGAAACAGCAGCAGAACAGGATGGAAGTGATCAGCTGATCAACTTGTCATTGTGAACTAGTGATGTTGAAAAGGCGTTAAACCTCCAACGCGTCCTGTCTTGCTTGAACCTGTCTGCTGCTCTGCTTCACCGCCAGGAAACTAAACTCAGCCAACAGGAATTGAACGATGATGAAACGCTTGGACGTTAAAAACTGTTTCCATAAATCAGCAAAACGTGTGTGTTTAAAACAGATGGTGTTTTAATCTCCTGCACAATGAACAGATGTACCTCTTCAGATTAACACACAGCTGAGATCACTTTAACAGATCTCCCTGTGTGACACAATAGACTGACTCTAATATGTGTGTGTGTGTGTGTGTGTGTCAGTGTGTGGTGGGGGGGAGGGATCAGTGTGTGACCCTGTTGTCCTACATTGTGATTGGTTGCTGTGGATGAACCCTGAGAACTGGGTTGAGGGGAGACATGTGTCTTTTGTGTGTTGTGTGTTTGAAGCAGGTAAATGTTTTTTTCAGTGTTTAAGTAGAGAAATAATTAATTGATCTCTGACTGATGATCTGAGTGAAATATTTTTCAACAAGGAAACTGATTCATTAACTCAAAGATTTAATCTGAACTAAAGGTTTCTCTGAATGTTTCAAACTGAGTTTATAAAAAGATACAGACACACCCAACACACACACACACACACACACTGTGGTATTTATAACAGTGTGTTTTGGTTTAAAGTCATGACATCATCCTAACTGTGGAAAAAGTTTTTTATGATCGAGTGAATGTTTTCTGTTGGCCTTTTACGGATGTGTGCAGTGTGTATATAGTGTTGTGCAGTGTGTATATAGTGTTGTGTGTATATAGTGTTGTGCAGTGTGTATATAGTGTAGTGTGTATATAGTGTAGTGTGTATATAGTGTTGTGTAGTGTGTATATAGTGTTGTGTAGTGTGTATATAGTGTGTAGTGTGTATATGTAGTGTGTATATAGTGTTGTGTAGTGTGTATATAGTGTTGTGCAGTGTGTATATAGTGTAGTGTGTATATAGTTTAGTGTGTATATAGTTTAGTGTGTATATAGCTTAGTGTGTATATAGTGTAGTGTGTATATAGTGTAGTGTGTATAGTGTTGTGCAGTGTGTATATAGTGTAGTGTGTGTATAGTGTTGTGCAGTGTGTATAGTGTTGTGCATGTGTATATAGTGTTGTGCAGTGTGTATATAGTGTAGTGTGTATATAGTTTAGTGTGTATATAGTGTAGTGTGTATATAGTGTAGTGTGTATATAGTGTGTATATAGTGTAGTGTGTATATAGTTTAGTGTGTATATAGTGTAGTGTTATAGTGTAGTGTGTATATAGTGTTGTGCAGTGTGTATAGTTTAGTGTGTATATAGTTTAGTGTGTATATAGTGTTGTGTGTATATAGTGTTGTGCAGTGTGTATATAGTGTAGTGTGTTATAGTGTTGTGCAGTGTGTATATAGTGTTGTGCAGTGTGTATATAGTGTGTGCAGTGTGTATATAGTGTAGTGTGTATATAGTTTAGTGTGTATATAGTGTAGTGGTATATAGTGTGTATATAGTGTGTATATAGTGTAGTGTGTATATAGTGTTGTGCAGTGTGTATATAGTGTAGTGTGTATATAGTGTTGTGCAGTGTGTATATAGTTTAGTGTGTATATAGTTTAGTGTGTATATAGTTTAGTGTGTATATAGTGTTGTGCAGTGTGTATATAGTGTAGTGTGTATATAGTGTTGTGCAGTGTGTATATAGTGTTGTGCAGTGTGTATATAGTGTTGTGTGTATATAGTGTGTATATAGTGTTGTGCAGTGTGTATATAGTGCAGTGTGTATATAGTGTTGTGTGTATATAGTGCAGTGTGTATATAGTGTTGTGCAGTGTGTATATAGTGTTGTGTGTATATAGTGCAGTGTGTATATAGTGCAGTGTGTATATAGTGTTGTGCAGTGTGTATATAGTGTTGTGCAGTGTGTATATAGTGCAGTGTGTATATAGTGTTGTGCAGTGTGTATATAGTGTTGTGCAGTGTGTATATAGTGTAGTGTGTATATTGTGTAGTGTGTATATAGTGTTGTGCAGGTTGTATATAGTGTTGTGTGTATATAGTGCAGTGTGTATATAGTGCAGTGTGTATATAGTGTAGTGTGTATATAGTGCAGTGTGTATATAGTGTTGTGCAGTGTGTATATAGTGTAGTGTGTATATAGTGTTGTGCAGTGTGTATATAGTGTTGTGCAGTGTGTATATAGTGCAGTGTGTATATAGTGTTGTGCAGTGTGTATATAGTGTTGTGTAGTGTGTATATAGTGCAGTGTGTATATAGTGTTGTGCAGTGTGTATATAGTGTAGTGTGTATATAGTGTTGTGCAGTGTGTATATAGTGTTGTGTGTGTATATAGTTTAGTGTGTATATAGTGTTGTGCAGTGTGTATATAGTGTTGTGCAGTGTGTATATAGTGTAGTGTGTATATAGTGCAGTGTGTATATAGTGTTGTGCAGTGTGTATATAGTGTAGTGTGTATATAGTGTTGTGCAGTGTGTATATAGTGTAGTGTATATAGTGTTGTGCAGTGTGTATATAGTGTTGTGCAGTGTGTATATAGTGTTGTGTATATAGTGTTGTGCAGTGTGTATATAGTGTTGTGTGTATATAGTGTAGTGTGTATATAGTGCAGTGTGTATATAGTGCAGTGTGTATATAGTGCAGTGTGTGTATATAGTGTAGTGTGTATATAGTGCAGTGTGTATATAGTGCAGTGTGTATATAGTGTAGTGTGTATATAGTGTTGTGCAGTGTGTATATAGTGTAGTGTGTATATAGTGTTGTGCAGTGTGTATATGTAGTGTATATAGTGTTGTGCAGTGTGTATATAGTGTAGTGTGTATATAGTGTTGTGCAGTGTGTATATAGTGCAGTGTGTATATAGTGTTGTGCAGTGTGTATATAGTGCAGTGTGTATATAGTGTTGTGCAGTGTGTATATAGTGTAGTGTGTATAAAGTGTTGTGCAGTGTGTATATAGTGTAGTGTGTATATAGTGTTGTGCAGTGTGTATATAGTGTTGTGCAGTGTGTATATAGTGCAGTGTGTATATAGTGTAGTGTGTATATAGTGTTG